AGGAGAGTCGCGATGTCGTCTATACGAGTCCCGGTGAGGTCACCTTCAACCACAGAATTGATATTCCGCCTGCAGAGATGCGACCATGTCGTCAGCTATCATTCTCTGCTCGCCAGCTTCAGGTTCACCGGCGACGTCACGCAAAGGTCAACTCTCACCGTCGGACACCACCTTCCGTTCCGGACAGGTCATTGGGGATGTTGAGGATTCTAACGCCCGCATCGACTTGGCTGACAACGTCTCGTGTACGAGATCACGGTCGGGGCTACGTGAGACGCGTTGAAGCAGCTCCAATGTTGACTTCTTCCAACAGGCACGTCGCGCGATTCGATCCGACTGATGGGTAGGATCAGCCCCGGACCCCATCGTCCATTGTATGCTTGCAGTCGTTCGTGTTCGAGCTCGACGGTCTTGTCACCTTTCAGGTAGGTTGTCCTTGGTGATAGCCTCGGTCTCGATGTCGTCATGGCCACAGAGGTTTCTTGTTGCCATTCCTCTTTCTCCTCCTGACGCAATGAGCGCACGGTGAGGTCGACATCCGGTGCGCAGTCAACAGCTGAGGTATTGCCGACACTCAACCGCGAAGATAGACTTGTGAAGTGCAGATTGTTGGGTATAGATAGGTCTACACTCGCTCTCTCTGTCAATTAGTATCCAGTAGTGTGCGGTAATCGAATTCTTGACAATAGACCTCCCGTTGCCGTCCTGGTTTTGGTGCAAGAAATACGTCCGCGGAGAAGCCTTTGCATCAGTGAGCATGGCTTGCAGCAGTTCCTGCCGTGGGACCTCCAAATATGGACTCGACGTCAAAATCAACCCTCAAGTCATTGCCTTCGGCTTCGGCGATCCGGGCGCAATTAAGCTTACCTACTTGAAAAGCTGAGGCTGGTTTGCAGCAGCATGTGTAGTCAAGGTGCAGCACAGCATTCCTCTACTTGAATCAAATCACGTTACGTTTTGTCTTGGACGGAAGAATCGGCCAAGATGCATCGGTGCATTCCCAAAAAAGCTTGTCTGCACGTAGACTCCTCGCCATCCGACAGGCACGCCTATCCGCCCCTCTGATCTCCAGGTGATCACAGTTCCCTAAACCCCGCAATCTACGGACAACAGCCCAAATCCTCGGCTGCCATAACGCCGAGATCTCCATTTGGCCCTCTCCCAAACTGGCAGCTCGACCTTGCATACCATGCCCTTTTGCCGCTGGCCATAGTTTGGTCAATTCACACGTGAGCTAACGGAAGAATTGCACCTTTCGGCCCGCCAAAGCCCTGCCTCGAGCGCGTAGTGACAATATGGCGAGAGACTGGGATACCCCGCAAGAGAAGTAGACGGTAGTGAACCTGATTGCTGGAATGACGAAACTGTCGTGCTCGGCCTCATTTCCCGCGATACCGCGCGACCAAAGAGGTCTCATTGTATGCTTGCAATTGATGTGAGGCTCTGTTCTTAAAGACTACGATCTGGCGTTCTATTCTCGGGGGGTAGATCTCTTGGCTGCTTCATGCCGACGCGAGCCATTGCGATTTCGACCCTGCCAAGATCTGGGCGCGAACATTGGCAACTTTTTGACAGTATCCCAGCATGCGATTCTTCAGGACGGTGACGGCTCTGATCTGGCTGTTGGTCTCTGGGGCCGTTGCGACTGACAATGGCCTCACGGACGTGGTGTCCTGGGACAAGTACAGTCTGTCGGTGAACAACACCAGGGTCTTTATTTAGTCGGTGCCCCTCTCACCATTAGGGACTTATAGCAATTGCTGACGATAAGAAAAGCTCCGCAGAGTTTCACTACCAGCGGTTGCCTAACCCAGATTTATGGCTCGTACGTCACGAGGTTGTTGCTCGCCATCGTTTTTCCTGCTAAGTGTCTGCAGGATGTTTTGCAAAAATTCAAGGCCAATGGCTTCAACACCGTGAGGTAGGCTAAATGTCTTGCAGGTCAGCCATCAAGTGGGTGCAATACTGACAGACGAAACAAAAGCATCTACTTCTTCTGGTCCTACCACTCCGCCTCCGAGGGCGTCTTCGACTTCGAGACGGCCGGGAAGAATATCCAGCGTCTGTTCGACGACTGCAAGGCGGCCGGCCTATACGTGATCGCCCGAGCGGGCCCGTACTGTAATGTGAGAGTGACAGCCAGGCTCCGGACGCTCGAGAATTCTTTGCTAACTGGCAAAAGGCCGAGACCAACGGCGGCGGCCTCGCGCTCTGGGGCTCCGACGGCCGCTTCGGAAAAATCAGGACCTCTGATGAGAACTATTACAAGGGATGGCTGCCGTTCATCACTGAGGTCGGCAAAATCATCGCCGCGAATCAGATCACCAACGGCGGTGTAAGTGGCTTCAACGGAGAAGATGAGATGGTGGCAGAGGCTGACTTGAGAAACAGCCCGTGATTCTCAACCAGGTCGAGAACGAGTACCAGGAGACAGTCTACCAGGCGAACAACACCGCGGTCGTGTACATGGAGCAGATCAAGAAGGCTTTCAAGGACGCCGGGGTCGTCGTCCCCCTCACGCACAACGAGAAGGGCATGCGCTCGCGCTCGTGGTCGACGGACTACAACAACGTCGGCGGCGCCATCAACGTCTACGGCCTCGACAGCTACCCCGGCGGCCTGTCCTGCACCGACCCGACGGTCGGGTTCAACGTGGTGAGGACGTACTTCCAGTGGTTCCAGAACTACTCCTTCACCCAGCCGAGCTACCTGGCTGAGTTTGAGGGGGGTTGGTTTTCGAACTGGGGGAGCCAGACCTTTTACGATCAGGTGCGTGTAAGAAGCAGGGTAGAAACGGGGGATGACTGACGACGTTTGCAGTGCGCATCGGAGCATGACCCGGGCTTTGCGGACGTTTACTACAAGAACAACATTGGACAGCGGGTCACTTTGCTCAGCCTGTACATGACGTACGGGGGAACCAACTGGGGTCATTGTGAGTGGGATGCTCCGCATGCTTTAGCATATCTAACGACATACAGCTGCTGCACCCCAAGTTTACACGTCCTACGACTACTCTGCCCCCCTTCGCGAGACTCGAGAGCAATGGAGCAAGCTCTTCCAAACGAAGCTCATCAGTCTCTTCACCAGAGTATCCAGCGAGCTCCTGAAGGTCGAGATGATCGGCAACGGCACCGGGTACCAGCTCTCATCGACGTCGGCCTTCAGCTGGGTTCTCCGAAACCCCGATACCCAGACCGGCTTCACCGTCGTGCAGCAGGCCAGCACCAAGTCCATGACCCCGATCCAGTTCGATGTCACCCTCAACACGACGGCCGGCGCGGTCACGGTTCCTGGTGTCACTCTCAACGGCCGTCAGAGCAAGATTCTTGTATCGGACTACACCTTTGGCAAGCACACTCTGCTGTACTCGTCCGCCGACGTCGCCACCTACGGCGTCTTTGACAACGAAGTCCTCGTCTTTTACCTTCAAGAAGGCCAGACTGGACAGTTTGCTTTCAAGAACGAGGGCAATCTCACTTTCGAGGTGCACGGCGATACCGACGTGACGGAGACCAGCAACGGAAACCACGCCGCATTCACTTGGAAACAAGTCGCCGGTTCCACGGCCGTCAAGTTCTCCAACGGCGTCCTCGTATACCTCCTCGAGCAGAAGACGGCGTGGCGCTTCTGGGCTCCCGCCACAACAGGCAACCCAACCGTCAAGCCCGACGAGCAGCTCTTCGTCCTCGGCCCCTATCTCGTCCGCAGCGCCAGCATCTCCCACGGCGTCCTCCACGTCTCCGGCGACAACGACCGCGCCACGACCATCGAGGCCTACGTCGGCGACAAGCCCATCGAGACCATTGACTGGAACGGCATACGCCTGCCGGCGACCAAAACCGCCTACGGCTCCTTCACCGCCACCATCCCCGGCGCCGAGGACCGCACCGTCGCCTTGCCGGAGCTCAAGAATTGGCGCTCCGCCGACGCCCTCCCCGAGGCGGCCCGCGACTATGACGACTCCCGCTGGGTCGTCTGCAACAAGACCACCACGCCCAGCCCTTACGCCCCCGTCACCCTGCCCGTCCTTTACAGCTCCGACTACGGCTTCTACTCCGGCGCCAAGATCTACCGCGGCTACTTTGACGGAGCCAACGCCACGTCCGTCAACATCACCGCCTCCGGCGGCCTGGCGTTCGGCTGGTCCGCCTGGCTCAACGGCCAGCCCATCGGCGGCGACGTCGGGTCCGCCGCGGCCACGACCACCAACAAGACCCTCGCCCTCCCGCGCGCCGCCCTGCGCGCGACGGACAACGTCCTCACCGTCGTCGTCGACTACCACGGCCACGACCAGGCCTCAACCGGCCAGGGCATCAACAACCCGCGCGGCATCCTCGGCGCCCAGCTCCAGCCGGGGAGCACCCGCACGGCCACCGGCTTCAAGCAGTGGAAGCTTGCCGGCGCGGCGGGCGGCGAGGCCAACATCGACCCCGTCCGCGGGCCCATGAACGAGGGCGGCCTCCACCCGGAGCGGCTCGGCTGGCACCTCCCAGGCTTCACGCCCTCGGGCTCATCCTGGGCGAACAAGTCCCCGCTCGACGGCCTGTCCGGCGCGGGCATCGCCTTCTACGTCACGACCTTCACGCTCAACATCGACTCGGACCTCGACGCGCCGCTCGGAGTCGAGTTCTCCGCGCCCGCGGGCACGACGGCGCGCGTCATGTTCTGGATCAACGGGTACCAGTACGGCAAGTACGTGCCGCACATCGGCCCGCAGACGCGGTTCCCCGTGCCGCCCGGCGTGATCAACAACCGCGGCCGCAACACCATCGCCGTGAGCCTTTGGGCGCAGACGGACGCCGGGGCGAAGCTGGACGGGCTGAAGCTGGTGCAGTACGGCCAGTACCAGACGGACTTCAAGTTCAACCGCGACTGGAGCTACCTGCAGCCCGGCTGGGAGGATCGGGCGGAGTATTCCTGAGTGGGATGTACCTAGATAGAAAAGGAAGAGGAAGAGAGAAAATGGCGCCGCAGTTCGTGTAGTAATACATTTTGTCCTATTTCACAGTCCTCCTATATTTGATAATATTTCCATATTCCGCCGCCCAAAACAGGTGCTCTTCCGCGTTTTTTTCGTCACCTTTCTTCCTGTACTCGCTTGACAGCCTCAGATGCTCGCTCATAAGAGGCTGAAAAGCCTTTCTGTATCCAGAGACGGCCGCCCTGGTTAGACGAGGGAGATAGTCTCTGCTTTCCGGGGCCGTCATGGCCAGCTCGTACACCCCATCCGCGTAACCCTTGTCCGCCAGCAGCCGGTATGTGTTATGGGCCTCTTTCAGCATTTTCAGGCGCTTGTACGCCTCGGCCATGCCCGTGAGACAGCCCGCCTCCCAGTCGAAGTACGTCATCTCGTCGCCAAGCACGCGCGCCCGCTGGAAGGCGGCAAGGGCCTTGCGGTCTTTCTCTTCGGTCTTGTGGCTGAGGGCCAGCATGCCCTCGAGGACGACGGCATTGGCGTCGCGGCCGAGCTTGATGAGGTAGTCGACGTGGTCGCGCATGTGGCCCCATTGGGGCGCCCAGTAGGAGTACGGGGAGGTCCTGGGCACGCTGTTGTGGATGAGGGTCCGGCCGAGGGACAGGGCCGAGGCGTCGTAGCCGATGCCGGCAGCCGTGTTGAGGACGTGGAAGAAGAGGTCCTTCTCCTCCTCGCGCATGTTGGGAAAGTCCAGGATCAAGAGGGCCAGGTTGTGGATGTCGGCGCCGTTCGCCCTTGTCTCTGTGGCGGAGGCAGGTAAGCAGATGTATTTTGGATATCGAAGGGGAGTCAGAACGGATCATGTAAAAAGGTGACTCACGTGCAAGGAAGTTGGACTCCCAATTCTTGTTTTCCCTGCGTTGGGCGAGGGCCGACAGGTAGGCGCTGTACATTTTGTATGTCTCGTCGGGGTCGCCGTCGGGGATTTCCAGCGTCTTCCACAACATGCGGAAGAGAGCGTTGGAGCGTTTGGGTATCGTCAGTGTTTGGATCTTTATGGGCGCTCTCTCATTTATTAGGCTGGGGTCTGGACGGGCTTTGCGATTTCCGGTTGGAGCCCGTTGAATGGTTCTTACGCCCGTCGCGACGGCTTGTGGACGGTTGAGCGCTGGCGATGGCCGGGGGACAACGCTGGCCACGAGAGGCCGGCCGTGAGAGGCATGAGCTCTCGCGAAGCGAAACATGGTGAAGGATGGAGTGTGTGAGGGTGGCACGATGAGTGTTTGGTTAATGATGGTCCATCGACAGCATTTGAGCGGGCCGAGAGGATGAAATTCGGGGTTCAGTGTAGATCAATTCAGCCGGCAAGCCTGCTGCATTGAGACCACCTTGACTCAGAATCTCAATGGCAGAATCAAAGGAATTGGTCGCCCGGGTCAGCTCATGCGGTCATGGGTGCCCTCGGCGCAGTGGTGCTCAGATGAAGCTACGATGTAGGAAGCTCGACTGAGGTTCACGATGAGTGAAGTGGGTCGGAATTTTACAGCCAATCAAATACCGTCTGTTTGATGGTTTGCCCCACCTCGAAAAAAAGTTGCGACTGCACCATTCCCCCGACGACTTTTCGGCCCTCACTCATCAACACCATCGAACTCACACACTCATCCGTCGCCAGGGACCCGAGGCGTTTCGCATTGTTTACTTATATCAAGGTCCTGCAAAAACCTACCGGAATACATAATCCCGCCCTGGAATCGCATTAAAACAAGGTTTGCCACCTCCCCCCGCGGGAAGCCACACGACCTGCCGGTCTCTCATTCACAATGGTCACCACCCGGAACATGCTGCGCTCGGGAGTCGAGTCGCCCGGAGAAATCACCACACCAAAGAAGCTGCCCGTCCGCTCAAAGGACGCAACTCCCAAGGGCACACCCAAGTCCACACCCAGAGCCACCCCCAAGAAGGGCTCCGCCAAGAAAGATGAGAGCGCCCGGCCGTCGTCAAAAAAGAAGTCGTCTCTCGTGGTGGAGCTGAAAGCGGACTCGACCCCGTCAAAGAGCGCCGACGTCCAGGAGCCGTCCATCATCACAGGGCCCGAGCAGCCGGCGCCGGAGGTGGAGGACAAGGTCATCAATGACTCGGAGGAGTCGCCAGAGCCCGCAAACGAGGAGGAGCAGGAAGCGGAGGAGAAGGAGGAGGCGCCGGCTGCTGAGGCGGCGGACGATTCAGACTCGGACGAGGCCCCTGAGGCTGTTTCGACGAGCAAGGCTGCGGTGCAGGCGAAGAAGTCCGCCCAAGCTGCCAACAAGGCCATCGCAGAGTACGTTACACGAGTGACCTGATTAATTTTCAAAAACTAATCGTCTCGCAGACAAGCCGCTGCTCAAAAGCGCAAGCGCCAGGAGCGCAACACCCGCCTCCAGGAACAGGCTGCAGTCCGCAAGGCCCAGAAGCCCGCGCCCGCGGAGAAGGCAAACGACGAGGACGAGGAGATGGAGACCGCCGCAGCGGAGGCTGAGGACTTGGCGGACGCAGAGCAGGCTGACGCGGCGGCGCCCAAGAAGCCCACCCGCCGGAGACTCGATCTGCCGGCCGAGCTCCCGGCCGAGTTTCTCGAGTCCGACTCGGAAGACGACGGCGAGGACGGCGCCGAGGGTCAGCCCCGCAAGGCGCGCAAGCTCAACACGGCCAAGGCGCAGATTTCTCGCGAGGGCCGCGGCCCCAAGGACGAGGTCGTGGGGTCGACCGTGTTCCGGGTGGTGAAGCAGGAGGACCAGAGGCTCGCGCCCAAGTCGCACAAGTACTCCATCGGTACTAAGAAGGCGATGTTGGCGCGTGGCAGGACGGCCGTGGGAGTGAAGAAGGGGTTCTTGGTCGGCACGACGCAGCAAACGGATAAGAAGGTGAAGGAGAAGAGGCGGAGATAAGCTTGTGGCGCTTAATGGGGGAAATGGGGGGTGGGAGTAACTGAAAGATTGACCCGGAGAGGCTGAATTATACAAAAGTTTGGATTTAGGGGCTCCAGCGAGGCAATGAGTACTACTAATGAGACTGTTTCCCGTCAGGACGGCTTTGTAACTCGCTTTCTTTTCTCGTAGGACATATCTCAGCCAACAAGAAGAATCCAAGGCCAAAAGTAAGCACTACGTTGAATGAGTTCTTGACCCATCCCACCGGTTCCCGGCGCCTTAAAAGCTTAGCACTGGTTAAGTGGACAGCCTCCGAATGTCAGGGTCTTTTATCACAGACCCACCCTGCGATTTTGCAGAATGCTACGCAACGATGAGGTCTCATTGGGAGACTCGGATGGAGATGCCATGTGCTATCATAGTGGGCAGCGATTGCGCCATCCCGTCGCCCAACCATCGCTGCGGATGTTGGCCGAATGGGGAAGCGAGCTTCTGTGCCGACGTGCGAGTCGGTCGTTCTTCGTTATCGATATGGCTGATGAGCTTTTTCCTAACTTCCACGGTATTGATATAAACGTCATGCCCCACGATGTTTTGTAGTTAGCTTGACAGTAACATTGAGCTCAATTCAGACGCCGACTGTTATGATGCCTGCGCTGACGGAAAAGTCGCCAGCCGTGGCTGATGGCCCGGCTGATATCACCGAGGAACCTCGAGGGTCCTCTCGTGAAGGCCCGTGGATTCGCCTCATGACGGCCCTCCGATGGTATTCGCGCGACACGCCAAGCGAGGAGAAGCACCTCGTCCTGCGGCTGGATTTGTTGATCTTGATCTTTGGCTGTCTCTGCTTCTTTACCAAGTATCTTGACCAGTCATCCCTGACCAACGCCTACGTCAGGTATGTTGCTCTGCTCCCACTGACAGTCTCCCAAGCTTACTAGACCAGCGGAATGAAGGAGGACCTCAACCTCGTCGGCAACGAGCTCAACTACATGACCATTGTCTTCTGGTCCTCGTACTGCACCTCCATGATCCCGGCGTGCTACTATCTAACCCGCTACCCCATCAACATCGTCCTGCCAGTCCTCGAAATCGGCTGGGGTCTGTCGACGTTCGGTCTTGCCTGGGCGCAGAACGTGCAGACAATCTACGCTATGCGCTTCTTTACAGGCCTGTTCGAGTCCTCTTCCTTCACTGGCATAATCTACGTAATCGGAAGCTGGTACAAACCTTCAGAGATTGGCCGCAGAGTCGCCCTGTTCTACATCGCGGCGCCGCTGGGGACCATGTTCGCCGGCTACCTCCAAGCAGCCGCCTACACGAATCTGCACCACGTCCACGGCCTCGCCGGCTGGCGCTGGCTCTTCATCGTCGACGCCATCATCACCATCCCCATCGCCCTGATCGGCTTCTTCGTCTTCCCCGACGTGCCCTCCCGCTCGCGGCCGAAGCTGCTGCCCGCATCGCAGTACGCCCTCGCGCAGAAGCGTCTCGGGGGCCTCACGGCGCCGCCCCAATTAAAGGTCTCGCGCGACATCTTCAAAAGAGTCTTCAATCGCTGGCACTGGTACCTCTTCGTCGCGCAGTGGACCATCATGAACGAGAACCTCCAGCCCAGCGGGTCCCCCTTCTCGCTCTACCTCAAGGCCTTCCCCGAGACGTACTCCGTCACGCGCATCAACACGCTCCCGACGGTTGCGACGGCCATATCCATCGTCTGCGCCTTCGCCGCGGGTGCGCTCGCCGACCGCACGGGCTGGTTTGCAGGGCTATCCATCGCCGCGACGGTGCCGTCGTTGATTGGCGTGGTGATGCTGGTGGCGTGGAACGTCGGCGAGGGCGGGCGGCTGGCGGCCTTTATGCTGAACGGCTTTGAGGGGGCCATTCCCTCACTGACGATGGCGTGGGCGACGGTGACGATGGCAGGCGACGCGGAGGAGAGAGCCATCGTCACGGCGTCGATGAACGCAATCGGGCAGGCCATTGTCGCCTGGGCGCAGCTGCTGCAGTTCCCTGCCGTCGAGGCGCCGTACTTCCGCCGCGGGTTCAGGAGCGTCGTGGGCACCATGGTCGTTCAGTTCTTTCTGACTGGGGCGATTTGGTTCTTGGTCAGGAGGGACCGCGGTCGGGTGGAAAGGGGAAGCGGCGAGGAAGACATCAGGGGGGAGGAAGAAGATGGTGTAAAAGGCAAGAGCAGTGTCTGATGAAGAGGCTTCCATTTATAGGGAAAAGGGTGGGGGGATTCATCTTCTGAGTAAACGTGCCTTCTGTGGCATGTATGAGGCATTCTTGCCAACCCCATCGTCATGCCTCATAACTGATGTTACTCCTATACCTACTGCTGTCAGTTGTTGTCACTCATACCCCTATTGTTCTTGCTACTGCCCTTCTTGTCGCCTCGCATCCCTCAAGAAAGTCAGATGTGACGACCTCCTTGACGGGCCACTCCTTTCAGAGAGCACTGGCTGTTGACTTTTTAGCAAACGTACCTTCCCCAGTCTCAATTTGGAAAGAGAAAGCGTCTTGTTGTCGCTACTGTCCTTGCTGTTCATGTTCTCGTTGCTCCTATTCTTGCTTCTGTCGTCCTTATATATGCCGTCCTTGTCTCTGACGTCCTCGTTCCTCGTTTTCCAAACATCAACGTCAGCCCAACATTAGAACACGTTTTCTTCGACTACAAAATCACCAAGACATTCTGAATTCATCCCACTATCACATTCATCACATCATAACATCCACGAGATGCCTCATTCAACCGTCGATGACGAGCACTCAAGCTCTACCGTCGCCCAGCAGCCCCCTACTCAAGATCAAGAGGCTGCGGCACAAGGCCCTCGCTCGTCCAGACCATTAGTGAACGGCGGCTCTCCCACACCCCAGAGACCCCGGAGCATTCGCGAGTATTCACCCACCGAAAGTGCTTCAGATGGTGTGCAAAACCCACAGTATGCCACATACCCTGCGCCTCCACGACCGCCTCGGCCTCAATTTGCAACCTTGCATAGCCCTCCTCAAAGTACAGCTGCAAATACGTCTGCAACCCAGTCTCAACGTACAACTGCAAATATGTCTGCAACCCAGCCTCATCGAGCCCTCTTCGTGGAAATATACCCAGCGGGCAGCGGCCAGGACAGCCAGAAATGCCACGGCTACATTGCCAGCGACCTTAAGCCCGCATGCGCGGAACTTATTGACCTCAACAGCTTGAAAGCCCCTGCGAACACAACTAACCTTTCCTCTGGCGACTCGTCTGACGCCAGTGAGGCTTCGACGGTAGCGGGCATAGACAAGGACGGCAAGGGCAAGGGCAAGGGCAGGTGTGAGGACGACCGCAAGAGCAAAAAGAAGGACGCCGACGAAGATGACAACAACGATAAGGGAATGCGCAAGGACAAGCCCCGTCCGGACGCCTCTCGTACAGATGTGCCTCCCCCGGATAAGGCTCGTCCAGCTGCGCCGCGTCCAGACACGCCTCTTTCAGACGTGCCTGACAAGGATCCCTCCGAAAACCCCCAGTTCACCCGTCAGTACGTCCGGGAGTACTTCGGTCAGCCCGTCGTTGCCCAGCCTTACCTCAAAGGCCTCAAAAGAGTCCACTCCGACTTCAAGGGCGAGCAAAGAGTCCAGCCCAACTTCAACGGCAAGAAAAGAGTCTATTTTAAAGACCAAGAGACAGTCAAACAACCTGCGCCTTCCTCTCCATGGGATGCCCCGGCTTCTCTCGACCGCAAGAGCAAGAAAAGAACATATTTCCAAGGCCAAGAGACAGTCAAAAAACTTGTGCCTTCCTCTCCATGGGTTGGCTTAGCTTCTGTACCGCAGAAGACGTGGGATCTAGACCGCTATCCGTCCCCGGATGAGTCCCCTGCCCGTGCTAGCTCAAGTGCAGACTATCCAGTCTACGACGACGGAGACTGCGACGGATTTTATTATGGCCCAGCCCACGACTCAAGCACAATGCGGCTTCGGTACTCAAACGAAGAAGAAGAGCATCTGACCAACTTTGAGAGGATCATGCAGCATAATGTCATGGCTGTGGCCGGTGAGGTGGCGTATATAGGGGCTTCTGTTCACAACATGGAGAACACGATGAGACGATGGGAGGACGCATCCAACGCACGAGACAACGGGATCTTCCCGCCTCCATACCGGGGCCAGCTGCCCCCGAGTGCCATTCCTCACGACGTCTTGCCGGCCCCCCCTGCGGGCATGTCAGTTGAACAGCAACGTCTGCGAGGATCAGAGGCGCCCGCAGGGCCACCCGATGCCCAGCACTCGTCACGAAGACCCTCATATCAGCCAATGACGCCGTCTCCACGCTTGAGTCAAGTGGGCTCAAATTACCAACAGACGACAGAGGGGACGACGCCAACGGACGACGGTGCTGGACATCGGATCCCTCAGACGACGACGACGACGACGACGACGACGGACGACGGTGCCGGTCGTCGGGGTCCTCAGAACAACGAGGAACCTGGACCTGGGCCTCTTGGGATCGCCGGGAATATGATCTTTGGTCTCGTAGCTACTGCCTGGATTTGCATGACTGTCATGAGCTGTCGCCGTTAGCGATGAAGTTGTCCAGGACTTCTGTTGGGAACTGCATGTCTCTGAAAGGAAGCAGGGAAGCAAGAGCGATGAATAAATAGCGAGTATACTTTTGTCTAGGGTTAGACAGAATGGAATAGCGTCTTGATCTCTCACTCCGTCTTCGCCCTTCAGCCTTGCCATGTGATGCCTTCAGAAAACTTGTCAGGGGCCATTGGACCAGAAAGCATCACAGAGAACCTTTGGGTTTTCCAATTGACTAAATAGTTGTGACTGAGTGCTTGAGCTGGAGGGTGTCCTGGGTTCGCTGTCTCTGAAGTCCTTGATGCCAACTCGGTTTGGTGGTGAAGATTCCAACCCCGGATCAAACAATGTTTTGGTCAGACATATAATAAGCAATGCGCGACGTAGACCAAATCATGTCGTTCTTTCTGATAATGGAGCTAGTGCATGGTAGTTCTGCCTGTCCCGTGAATAATCAAGGACGAAGTATGTTGTCGTGGCATCTCTTGGGAAGGATGCATAAGCAGCATCAGCGCCATTTGGAACGATGAAATCCGATTCATAGAAAGGGAACCGGCCTGGCGAAATAGAGTTAGTATAGGCTTGAAGACACGGAGACGTCGCTTGCTGCTGAACATCAGCATCATCATGTTCACTAAGAAGCCATTCAATTTGAGCAACTCTACAGCAACCAGCACGCGCTCTCCTCTTCTTTCCGTCTTTTTTCGTAACGGGATTCAATAGCAAGACGCTCCCATAAAGTCAGCAAGAGCCCCGCGCCCGGCCCTGCCACACACACGTCGCCCGGACTGTGTGCGAACATCACCACCACAAACCACCAACTTCGCAAAACTCAACGACGAGGCCAAAAAGACTGATTTGAACGATCAGACGCTCTTCTGGATGACCCCAACCCGATTTGAACGGATAACCTTTCGATATCAGCTCAGAAACGGTCGCAGGACAGAATCTGGAGTCGAACGCGCTACCGTTGCGCCATGAGGCCGTTGTTGAGTGAGATCCACGATGTTGTGGGATATGATGTTGTGCGTTGCGAAGCGGTGCAATTCGATTGGCCAGAAGGGATTGGACCCACATTTAAATCGATTAAACATGTCGGTTTAGGGTCCTTGCGCCGTTACCCGGATTGCTCGCATGCAAGACAGACAGACTGTGTGTGTGTGAGTGGGCGCCACGCGCGCGCTCTCTCCGGAACCACATGCAAGAGAGAAGCAGCAGCAGCAGCAGAGAGTCATGCTAGGTGCAGCAGCCAAAAGCACGAAGCACGCGCAGCAAGCACCCACCGCCAACATGACTTCGAGAGCGGAGCGCAGGTGTGGGCTTGAAACGAAATACCCTCCCCGGCCCAGCCCAGCCCCAGTTGAGAGTCGCCCCGGCGGCGTCGCAACCAAGAAATGCGATCCGGCGGCCAACAATTCGTCATACGAGTGATGGAGATAGATAGAGGGATACACCCCAAGCGGCGCTTCCCTCCTCCCGGTGTGGAGAGAGAGGCCGTTCGCTCCCCCAAATGCCCGCCCGCCAAACGAAACCCTCCGTCTCCCCCCCTCTCTCTCTTTCCCTCGTGATAATTGATCGACAGACAGGCACTGGGAAAGTCGGAAAAGCCAGCCGCGAGTCGGCGACCTATCTCTTCCTCTGTGTGTGTGTCTTTCTCTGCGCCCCTCCTCCAAAAGGCGGCACACCTTACGGACCCTGAACTTGGATTTGCTGCTGGGAAGGCTTAGCCCCGACGGCGATTTGGCCGAAGCCGGGTCACGGTGTCAACCCGGTGGAGACCCTACGGTTGCTTGCGATGCGGCAGGGCGGGGAGTTTGTTACAACAGGAACGCTCTCGCCGGTGTGGGAAGAATCGTAATAAGGGACGTCTGATATACCCTCCCCCTCCATCCATCGAAGGTCACACCCTCTTAAGCCCCCCCAGTAACAACAAGAAGGCTCAGCTTTCCGAAAGGTCCCTCCCAAATCGCGCCCGGCCCATCATCGTTTTCTCCTTCTCTCTCTTGCTCGCCTTGCATACCGGTGTGGTGACATTTTGGCGGGGGCCCTTTCTCGGATTTGTCCCCTCCTTGGGATTCCAGCTTTTCTTCTTCACAAGTTAAGCACAGACGTCTGAAACAAATCCGTAGTGTGTATCCGTCCCATGTAGGAATGGCAATCGTATTGCGGCGCAGCTATGACCTCTTTTTTACTTTCTTCTTTTGTGAGATGGGTAGGCTGCACATGGGTGCAACAAACACACAAACACACGAGTCGCCACCGGCCGGCTGGGCAGTTTATGTCTGTGGGTTCCTTCTTTTGATGGTTGACAAGTTTGACAGAAAGGCATGAGTCTAAACTCGTTCGATTCGAGAAGAGCGCGTCCAGAAGCACCCGTCTGTGCGGGATGAAGGGTTGGTTACGTTGGATCAGCAACGTCGTCTGATCCAAAGCAGCGGGCGCGCGCCGCTCCAACGACCTGATGTCTCTGACACGGAGCGGATCTTCCAAAAGGTCCCTCTCCCTCAAAGATGAGATGGTCACTTGCAGTCATCAATCGGCGGCGAGCAGGACGACGCAACAATACCCCGCCCCTTCGGTGACACGACGTCTTGGAGAAAGAGAGCAAGATCGTCCCGTGGAGCCCAGTCTCGGGGCAGAACCTCGGCGAGCAGCCGGGCCTTGGATTGGATCCAGAAGCGAGTCTTCTCCCCTTCTTTCTTCAACATACACACGCTGCTCCAGGATATGCTCGTCTTGGGGGATGTTTGAAAATAAGTGTGAAACACTTCCCATCAGTGGGGTAGGGGGATGGGGATGGGACGGGGGGGGAGGGACGACGAGATCACAGATCGCACAACGCTGGGCTTTTTGCATGGGCCCCAGCCTTTCCCGACACTTTCGATTTGGAATGAACAAGCAACCATGTTTCCGGGTGTTGCACGACGCATAGATCTCAAACTTGGGGGTACTTTGGGAATTCATCCGCGGTCTTCCAGTCGTCGTGGAGAGCACGTTGCAGCGGTAGATGCAACTTCAGGCTCCCCAATCACAGTATCGGTGAAGGGGTTAATATGTGTCTTTCTCTTCTGCGCGTTCCTCGCTTCTCGAATGCGACAGAGTTCGGATTCGGTCGCCGATGTGCCGAACCTGTGCCTGCCTTCCCCCGGGTGCTCTCCGTTGCGCTCCTCCGCCAACTTCATGCCATGTCTCGATCTGAGACTGAAGAAGCGACATCAAGACACACCCATCTGGTTCGAAGCCGTGTGCGTGCGTGTATGTATGCATGTGTCCCGCTGCAGGTTATATTGGACATCGTCATCGTTATGTGCATGCTTGAGTGCGTGACTCGGCTTTTCCGACAAAAGCTTGGCCGGAGAATGATGTTGTGCGCGCGGTGTCGAGTCAGCTCACTGCGAACAGGTTCAAGTCCGCTTCTTCGTCCCAACCACAGACGCCGGCTCGCATCTGTAATCGCTTGAGGTTCTGCGGGCTGAGCCTTATCGGGCCCGCGACCTGCGGTGGGTTGTGTTCAAATCGGCGCCAGCGATGGAATGGTCCTGGCCGGCCGATTTCCCACAGTTTGATCGACGCATGTTCGGAGGACGGCGGCACACACACACACTCACACATGACTAACTGACTCAACGGCCAGGGTTGCGCGCACACAACGAGGGATATCCCGCGGGTGGCCTAGTCCCAATGCAAATGCAGCTTGCGAGCCGCTGGAAAGGAAGTAGGGGAAGGCGGGAAAACGGTTTCGTTGCGCCGCGCTAGTCGGCAAACGGCGGTATTCTAGAATCGTGTCGTCCGAAGGGGGCTCGAAGCTTCTAGTGTGCGATGTTGATGAGGATCGTCGTCGCCAATGCGCGCGCGTGTGTGTGCCCCTCGTTAGAAAGACGACGCACTTGAAAGCAGAAGGTCGGTCCGTCGATGAGACACGCACGCCAGCAGCAGCTTTGGCAGGTTTGACAACAGCCACACTGAACGTCTGGGAGCGGATCTCGACCTTGGACTACTCAAGCAAGCCACATGCACGCTTCTCGGGGGAGTACGACGTTGGAGGGGGAGGGGGTCTATCGCGTGCGCCCAAAACCTGCTTGACGAAGCTCTCACGGCCACGACAGTCGGGCTGGCTGCCCGTCGTCGCGAGGGATGATTGTTGCATTGACCCTGAGCAGAATTTCCAAATTCACGGTTAGGGAGGCCTGTCTTCTCTTGTCATTACTGCTGAAACCTATTTATGGTGTTGACGGGCTAAGGACAAGCCGATGATTGTCGCAGGCATGATGGCATCTCGTACGGCATTACCACTCCCACGGTGCTGCCCTGGCACGTACATCCGTGGAAGAAAAAGGCAGCAGGCACGCTAGTGCATCCTGATCGTCTGATGTGTGAACGAAGAGTTCTACCCAGTCCCGACCCGAGAAGCCTGATTAGCTCCAGAGAGAACGTCGGCCGGTGTTCGCGAAGCATGTTCGGGGGCTCTTGCAGGCGCGGAGACCAGCCGTGGGAAATGGTGAGACACTCAAATGTCTTGGCTTGTTCCCGAGACATGGTAATCCAAGCTCCAGTTTTTCCATCATCTGTTCCTCGCATCGATTCGAACAGAGTCCGGTCCAAACTCTGAAGGACCTCTTCTGACGGAGGGAACTGGCAGAACCGTTCGAATGAAAAGGCCCAAAAACTTAGAAGCAATGCTCTGCCACGTCGATATGTCCGTCCTGCTTCGGCACCGAGGGCTGGAACTACGCAGGTCGACGCAACGGGTCGTGATCTTGCTCGATGCGGACGCTTCTGCCGGCAGTCGCCCCCCAAAAAGTCCCTTAACTGTCGCTGGAATATATCTGAAGCCCCTCACCATTCTTTTCATCCGGTCTTGGACCGCATCTTCTTGTCGCGTCGAATGCGACATGCGCTGCAGAGAGTGTGCAGTGCCGTAACGCTAGCAAGCCCAAAAGGGTCCGTGCCACGACGTTTTCGAGATGCAATGATGCAGCACACCCTCAGAGATGGCTTCACTTGGAGGCTGCGCCGCCGTCTGATTAGGCATGGCCCATATGGATTGACAGACACAGTGTAAACTCAATCCCACATT